CCTCTCTCTCTCTCGCTTTTATATGCCCAAATTTCCCATTTACTTCTTTTTAACGTCACTCTTCTCTTCCCTTTTCTTCCCATCTATTTTTATTTCTGTTGACAGTCACCAATCTTTTTTTTTTTTTTTCTCTTACCGGAGATTTTTTTAAAAATCAGACATAAAACGAATAATATCTCTTCTATTTTTCTTTCCTATATTCCCTTCTCTGAAAATACAATTGGTTACTAGAAAAAATCATTTTCTCTTTGCACATAAGTCAACTCTCTCTCTTTCTTTCTCTCTTTCTTTTATCACTTCTTCTCATTCTTCTTCTTTCACCTTCTCTTTGGATTTTCTTCCATTGATGAACAACAACAAATCAATCTCATCTTGCGTCTTCCATTGAATTTGAAACTCCTAAGAGAAAATTTGGGGATAACAAAGTTTTCCGATGGGTAACGGAGTAACAAAGTTGAGTATGTGTTTCACAGGCGGAGGAGCAGGAGGAGAACGTTACCGGCAAAAAGACATCTCCGTTCTTCTTCCGGATCCTTTAGATGAAGGTTTAGGTCACTCCTTCTGCTACGTCCGTCCCGACCCGACTCTAATCTCTTCCTCAAAGGTCCATTCGGAGGATGATACAACGACGACCACCTTCCGTACAATCTCCGGCGCTTCCGTAAGCGCCAACACTGCGACTCCTCTCTCCACTTCTCTCTACGATCCGTACGGTCACATCGACCGCGCCGCCGCATTCGAGAGCACCACTATGTTTTCTTCTATCCCTCTTCAGCCGATCCCCAAAAGCTCCGGTCCGGTCGTTTTAGGCTCGGGTCCGATCGAAAGAGGGTTCCTTTCAGGTCCGATCGAGAGAGGGTTCATGTCGGGTCCTCTTGATCGGGCTGGGCTGTTCTCAGGCCCGCTTGACAAGCAAAACTCCGATCATCAGTTCCAACGTAGCTTCTCTCATGGTTTAGCTTTACGGGTCGGGTCAAGAAAACGATCTTTAGTTCGGATCCTCCGCAGAGCAATCTCCAAGACGGTTTCAAGAGGGCAAAACTCGATCGTTGCTCCGATCAAATCCGTTAAAGATTCCGACAATTGGGGAATCAGGTCGGAGAAAAGCCGAAACTTGCAGCACCACCACAACGAGAATCTCACAGTGAATAGTTTGAACTTTAGCAGCGAAGTAAGCTTAGACGACGACGTTTCGCTCGAAAGCCAGAATCTTCAGTGGGCTCAGGGAAAAGCCGGTGAGGATCGAGTACACGTGGTTGTATCGGAGGAGCACGCTTGGCTCTTCGTCGGAATTTACGACGGATTCAACGGTCCAGATGCGCCGGATTATCTTCTCTCTCATCTTTACCCTGTGCTACACCGAGAGCTTAAAGGGCTGCTATGGGATGATTCGAATGTCGAATCCAAATCTCAGGATCTAGACAGGTCTAATGGAGATGAATCGTGTTCAAATCAGGAAAATAATGATTCTTGTGAGCGACGGTGGAGGTGTGAGTGGGATCGTGAAAGTCAAGATCTTGACCGTCAATTAAAGGAACAGATCAATCGGAGAAGTGGCGGGTCGGATCGGTTGACGAATCATTCAGAAGTTTTACATGCTCTGTCACAAGCTCTGAGGAAAACAGAGGAAGCGTATCTAGATACTGCAGATAAGATGCTCGACGAAAATCCTGAACTAGCTTTAATGGGTTCTTGTGTTCTTGTGATGTTAATGAAAGGTGAAGATATTTATGTGATGAATGTTGGTGATAGTAGAGCTGTGCTTGGTCAGAAGTCCGAGCCAGATTACTGGTTAGCTAAGATTAGACAGGATTTGGAACGGATCAACGAAGAAACCATGATGAACGATTCGGAAGGTTGCGAGGGTGATCAATCATCTTTAGTCCCTAACTTATCGGCTTGTCAGCTCACTGTTGATCACAGCACGAATATAGAAGAAGTAAGTACAACAAAACAGTGGTATCCGTTGGTTGCTCAATGCATCTGAATTTTGGGCGGTTTTACTCATTGTTATATTCTTGTGGGTTCTTAGGAAGTTGAGAGAATCAGAAACGAGCACCCGGATGATGCTACCGCAGTGACGAATGAACGGGTTAAAGGCTCCTTGAAGGTCACAAGAGCGTTCGGTGCCGGTTTCCTAAAGCAGGTATGTATATTCATCCGACGTAAGCTAGGTCATGCAATTGGTTGTTATGGGTGATCTCAGTCTAACGAAACTTTGGTTATGTTATATCTTGCAGCCTAAATGGAACAATGCGCTTCTTGAGATGTTCCAAATTGATTACGTAGGGAAGTCTCCATATATCAACTGCTTACCGTCTCTCTACCACCACAGATTAGGGTCCAAGGACCGGTTTCTAATACTTTCATCAGATGGACTCTACCAATACTTCACAAACGAAGAAGCGGTTTCAGAGGTTGAGCTCTTCATCACATTACAACCTGAAGGAGATCCTGCTCAGCATCTTGTGCAAGAGCTTTTGTTTAGAGCTGCTAAGAAAGCTGGTATGCTGAATATTCTTACATTCTGTCCCTGTTCGATAATCGATTTTTTTAGTTTTGTCTGAACTGATGTCGTTTATATTGTAGGTATGGATTTCCATGAATTGCTAGAGATACCACAAGGTGAACGAAGACGGTACCACGATGATGTATCAATAGTAGTGATCTCTTTAGAAGGAAGAATGTGGAAATCTTGTGTATAAGAAGATAAACAAGTCCTTATGAGCATACACGCAAAACAAAATGGGTGTGTTCATGGAGGAAGAGATCGATCTCTCATCGGCTCTGCATCATGTATAATGTTGATAAACACAGAATAAACAAAAACAAAAAAAAAAAGTTTTGGCAACTACATATTTAGGAGTCTCTCTCTCGGTCTAGTGTGTGTCATTAAATTAGTGGTCAAAGGTTGGTTCTTCTTTGAATGTAAGTTTCTTCTTCCAACTACTAACTGTATGTGAATAGAGAAGTAAATGAAGGAATTGAAAGAGGTTTGGTTATTGGTATGAGATAAATGAGTAACGTAGCAGCACTAGTGGTTCAAGATAGTTATTCACTTTCCCTATCATTTAATTCACTTCCTCTCTCTGTTTTTTTGTTTTTTTTCACCCCATCTTTTGGCCTCTCTTTGTTTTCGTGTACTAGTTTCTTCCATTTCAGGGAACTTGGCTTTTATTAAATTTGGAATGTTATGTTTTATGTAACTTCTTGTCTTTTATATTCAAACCTTTATGTAACTTCTTGTCTTTATGTAACACTTGCTTTTCACAATGTTGACTTAACTTTTTTTTTTTTACCTTTGTTAGCTGTCTATTTTTAGTTTCTACCCCTTTTGGGGTTGCCTTTTTTGACTGTCTTAGATTTTTGACTACTTCCACAATATAGTATTTTATAACTATTGTTTTGTTGTGAAGAAACAGTCCGTTTTAGTGGCCTTGGGTCAACATCAACAATCAATCCAACGGCCAAACTGGTGTTTGTGTATTGTACATCTTGCAGACAAGAAGTTACAAGTAGAGATCCACAGAGTTAAGTGTATCTATTGCAAGATTTTGATAGTAAACCAATTTCTTTTAAAAATCTAGAGTGCTTTGATCATTTAGACTGACGAAGAATGATGACCTGAATAATTTAGATGAGAAACTCTATCACCCTAGCCAGTGAAAGTAGTGATGATTTATAATGCATCAATTTACCTGAAATATAGGACACAAGTAAAAGGAGCCAGCACAGCTGGTTCTTCTGAAACATGTAACTGCTTCAATTTCCTTACAAGAGACATTGTTAGATCTGTTTGGTTCACAGTACAGTAACAGACGTTTTGCAAGCTGTTGCCAAAAAGTCTCCAGATTTAATATCAAGATTTGTGAATGAATGTGAAGCAAGCAGAGTTTGCATTTACCCAACTTGGATTATTGGGCTCAACTGGGGCTTTTATCATTATGGGATCGTTTAAGCCCAATTAGTTTCATATTCGTTTCGTTAGTGAATCTGAAATAATTAGGCCGAGTATGTCCTTAATCAATTTCCACAATGATGACAATAGAAACAGTGACATTTCACATCATAAACTTGACACCTTGGTCGTATATGATCTGCAACTTCACTGTGATAGAATAATATTGGTTGACTATGAGATCCTAGATTTTCGGTATATTTAAGCTATTATTAACTTGTCTCTGAACATCGTCCGACTCTCAAAACAAAGTTGATATATATATATCCTTGTAGTTGCTTACATGATTCTTCCACACCTTTTTTTACTATATTTTAGCATTCTTTTACTCATGCAAAAAGACTCGTAAGTAAGAAAATAGAAATTTCTTATTAAAAAAGTGCAGTCAAAAAAGTATATTTCAAATGATTTTTTACACTATCGTTAAAAAAGTGGGAGTAAACACACAAAAGCTAGGGGTAAGGACAAAAGTTATTTCAAATCTCTCTGTGTCTGCATTGTTTTCCGTGTCAATCTTTACTTTAACGTTTTCTTCATTATATTCTCTCCACCTTTTTTTTTCTTTCCTATAACGTATTATTGTTATGTGGTATCATTGGAAAATTATTGTTTTCATTCAAAAATTATTGTTTTCATTCAAAAATTATTGTTTCCATTGCAAATAACCAAATAAATTTGTTAAACTGCGCATAATCAATCATTCAGAGTCTAATGTGTAACTAAGTCGGGGACGAGTATCAAATAGGTTTAATTTTGATCACTCAGTTAGTACTTAGTAGAGTCTAATGTGTATAGTAAATAAACTATATATGCAGCAACCAAAGCTGGTGCAACAAAAATAGTTGACAGTTTAATCTGTTAAATAGATTTGTTTTAGGTTGATTACGAAGGAATTTATATAAACGTTCATTAATTATCATGGATATCTGACTGACTAGTACTATATATACTACTTGCTTAAACAGTTATAAGAAAAGAGTGTACGTGAATATGCTTTAATCCATGCAGAAAAGTTTAATATTGATTTAATAATATCTACGTGTAGACAAATACATGTTTGCATATGTAAATAAGGAATATATATACATATATATATATATATATATATATGTATAAAAGGATCATGCAGTCACACAAACACTCTGACACACAGATTCGTAAGCTGACTGTAAAGGAAAAAGAAGCTCCTAAAAATATGTGAAAATTTAGTATTTTGGGAGATTTAAAACGTAGTATCCAGAGAGACACGGAATTATATGTTCAAGTTCTCCTTAATTAGTCAGTGAAGACACTTTTACTTTATGATTTATCCTTAGCTTTGATATATGATGATCAGAAGAACAATCAATAAACGATAAAATCATTAGTAGTGTTCACCGGTCGATATGGTTAGGGGAACATATGATATGAGCCATATATAAGTTTAAATTTGAACGGAAACTGAGTTAAAAGCTTAGAATAAGCTGGAAAATATGATATATATGTTCGATGAAATTCAAATTAAAAAGTATACAAATTGGACTGTTACACACAAGTATTCGAGATATAGCTAGCAACTTCAAAATCAGATCAACCATGAAATCACGCAATACAAACAAATTATAATGACACACGGGATTATATGAATATAAGTATCGATTTTAAGTTGTAAAACCACAAATTGCTAGTTAAGATACCTTTTAGTTTTGTTCTCGACGATCATCGTCCCCAACACACTGGCTGCATGCATTTAGTCCTGACCGTCCGTAGTAGTTTAAGTCAATCTCCACGTCGTAACATACACTAGTGATCCGACAAAATCTCATAAGAGTTCATTAGAAGGACCCGAGAAATCCGAACTGGGCCAAAAGTACTGATTTGTTTGATTCCCCGGAGACGTCAAGCCGGAGGCCGGTCTAGATAAGTTAGCCAGCTGATTTGGTTGTTCTTCCATCTTCACCGGAGGCGTCTGGTAAGCCCTAGAATCAACCATAGAAGTAGAGGAACAAGATATCCCGACGTTGTTTCCGATATTACCCTCGTTCGGGAAAGGGTATAACCCCGTTGTTGGATCGAAGAGGGTGAAGTGACTCAGTGATCCGACAGATGTCATTAGGTTGTTTTCGTTGTTGTTGTTGTTGTCATGAATGTTTCCAGTAATCTGACCTGAAGTATTTCGTCCATTTCCGACATGAAGAAACCCTAGATCATTCATCAAACTCGAACCGATCTGGTGAGCTTGGTTGTTGCCATTAGTAGCTGCTAAGTTCAAACCAATACCTCCGAGGTGAGTGAGGTTGTAAAGTGTTGGTGAAAACGGGAACTGATGATTTGTCCTTAGCTGTCCTGAGCTTGGACTTGGAGCGTTGACCCCGGAAGACTGTTTGGACGACGACGAAGAAGATTTTGAATTTCCATTTTTGCCCTTCTTGTTATTCTTACGGCAGCCTCCACCGACAGGGACGTTCCTCAGAGCGCCGCCTTTTGTCCAGTAGCGACGGCAACCTTTGCAGAAGTGACGAGGCTGAGTGAGGTTATAGTTGTTGTAGTAACAGAACTTAGTGTTGCTGGAGTCACATCGAGGACACTTTAAGGGTCCGTCAGGCGGAGGTATTTTGGCCTGCCTCGCTCTCTCCGCCATCGATCCACCCATCCTTGCCGGAAGGCCAGCAGAGGCAGCGACATGGTGGTGGTTAGGGTTAGGGTTTGCTTGGAGAGGTGGAAGTTGGTGAGAGAGTAGTCCGTGGCCACCAACTATACTTCCATTTTCGTGAAGCTGGTGCTGATGATGATGATTCGAATTCGTAGGCTGAAAAACCAAAAAAAGAAAAAGTAATCAAAATAAAAGAAGGAACCAAGAAACCGATCAATATTCAATAGTAGTACTAGTGTAATATATATAGAAATATAAAAACGTATTAATAAAGGAAGAAATACCATATATATAGATGTTGGAAATTTAAAGAAAGCTGATAAGAAAAGAAGACGAGAATAGGAATATCTTTTGGGAAATGAATCAAAATTATTACATACAAAGGAGAAAAACGAATCAAAACAACAAAGAAGAATTTTAAGAGAGAAATTACAAAAAGAGAAGAAAGAGAGAAGAGAACATTTAGTAATGGGAAGATCAAAGAAGAAGTGAACCTGCGACCAATTAGATGAGAAAGCCATATTGTTCTTCTAACTTTCTTTAATAAAGTTTGATGGATCTTTAGGGGAAAGAAAGAACTCACTCCAAGGCAAAAAAAATAACTTAGGTGGGGGAATCAAACCAAAATAAAGGAAAGGCAAAACGAAAGAGAGGAAGCAAGACGACCAAAGAGCAATGCGAAGAGAGCACAAAATCAGAAAGGAAAGTGAGAAGAGAGAAGAGAGAAGAGAACAAAGACAAATTAAAGGCAAGAAAATGCTTTCTTTCTTTTTTTTTAAACGAAGAAAAAGAAAAGGAGAGTTTTAATTAATTTCGGTTCTTTTATATGCTTTCTATATTAATTCCACTCCCATCTTCGCTCCTCATGGTGTATACGCGTCTCTAATCTATACTTCATTTTTTGTGTTATTTTTTTATATTTCTGATGATTCCCATTTTTAGGGTTTGAGTGGGGACGTTTCTTCGTCTATAAGGTTCCTTGTCTCTTAGGCGTCTATGGAATAATCTATATATATAGACTAAGGAAACGTTCTACGAAACTGTACCGAAGTTGTATAAAACTTGACCATCATATCTCTCTATAAATTTCGGGGCAAATTAAGTTAGGAAAATACTTTATCATATTCTACATTAATTATTCTTTATAACGTAGATGGCAAGCCCCATATGCCATGTATAAAGCATATCATCATCATACCCTATTACACTTTTTGGTGGGATCTTGTCTATTATGCAATGGTCTAAATTAACATTCTGTAGCATAAATAAGTGTAAAAGCTATCTAAATAACATGTGTTGTTTTACAAATAGACAAATAACATTTATTTCCTGTAAAAATTGCTTCTTCCTCCTCATATATATATAGTATCCTACTTTTTTTGCAGCGGAGTAATACATACAAACAAAATTAACTATTGACTCATATATATATTTCTAATAACAGTAACTATGGTACTATATTTTATGAGAACATGTACAACCCCTAACAATATAGTGATCATGGCAAACAGACGGAAACATCTTATGGTAAACAAAGTTAACATGTAAAAGTAAAATATCCGAAGAATTCCTAATCAACATCCTTAACTAATCAAAATTTGGCCGTCAGATCGAATAGCATATCATATCATATAGATGAGTCTCTATAACTCGCAAAAAAAAAAAAAAAAATTAATAAAAAACAAAAAAACAGGTTTGGTAGTTCTAGCTGTGAACCAAAGGATCTTAATTCACACATGAGAAGTAAGAGCGTTTTTTAATATAACTAATCATGAATGCATAGTTAATATTAAGACTACACACATTCATTACAAAATTATGACAAATCACACTAAAAGAATGGATGGAAATACTAGAAGAAAATCCAACATGATGATGCGGTCTTAATTCTTCTAGTAGATAATGAACTTTGGTCCAAAATATATTAGGTCACAAAACGTACTACTACTTGTTAAAAAGAGATATCCATTTTGCAGTTTGTGTCTACAATTTTTTTTCCAACTTTATTACTCTTATCGCTTCATTGATCACTCGTTTCGTTTTATAAATTGCTAAACTTCCTTTTCAGAAAAGGACCGGCAAAGATAGCCTACTTGCCACATTATTATAACACACTGCTTCGAGTGGGGCAAAAACTCTCCACCGCGAATATAGTCTCAATAAAACGAAAAACCAAAAAAAAAAAAAAGGACGTAATTGATCATGCATGAACCCATCACCAATACCTTTTCATTATGCCAAAACCATCATGTACACTCTTATCGTTCTTCTTCTTCTTCTCCCTTTCGCCCTTTAGATTTGGATAAAATCCTCATTTGAGATATTTTTCAGGCTTTTTCCTCGGAATTTGTGATTCACGTCACCCTAAATGTTGATATCACCACTGACCAATTTTTACGTATACTAATAATTAAAGACTATATATACGCCATCAGTATAATAAAAAGAACTGCTGGTTCTAAGATAATTTTCTCTAATTAAAAATTACCTAAAAAGTTCAGTTATCAGCTTCATATTCAGTTCCAAAGCATATACAACTAGTCATGTACATATGCTTACATTTGCACGTAATAGGAATATGAATTGTATCCAAAAAAGGTAACTTATACGTAACGTATAGTAACGAAAGGGTTCTTGAACGATCCATCACTTTTGTAGAGCCTTTTTGATATTGATGCTACAGCCCACACAATTGTAAGTCACGTATGCCGCTAACGCCAGCACCCTATTGCAAAGTGCTTCCATCGCTTACAAAAAAGATTCTTCACTTTATGTTAAACATACAGAAAAAATATTTACTCTTTCACATTATAATCTGTATATATATACCCTTCTCATATAAATTACCCAAGAACAATGACTCTTTCTTTTTTTGTACTTCTACAATTAAAAATGACTCTTAATTAGGGTTTTAGGTAGAGTATATGTGTCTTGATAACTAAATGATTTTATTTAATGAAGATGAAGAGAAAAAATGGGTAATAATAGAGGAAAAAAACGTGGAAGAAATGATAAGGACAGGAAAGAAAAGTAAAGAACAATGGTGGTGTGGGAATCTGATTCCTTGTCAATTAATTGGGCCCCCCCCCCCCCCCCTCTCCCTTCAGCTTTTTCCCTATTTATAAGCCTTTTTATTTTTATATCTCTGTCCTAAAAGCTTACTACTCCCTTCTTCTTAATCTCTTTACCTGTACATGTCCATATACACGAACAAGAGCTTTAGACTATTTCCAACAACATATAGTGATGATGCATGGTTGTTAATCTTGTAACGATATTTACTAGAATCCAACACTCTTGTTGTTTTAGTTTGGTCTAATTAATTAATAAGCCTTTATGCATCAATCTTATATATATCTTTATGAACGTACCAACAAAACACATAAACATCAAAAGAACCGCATAAAGTTAAAGTGATCATGTTTTCTTGATAAATTATATATCTGAATGTCGAAATATACGAAGACTAATGGACTCTTAATAGTCATTGTCATTTTGGGACTTGCCATAGTATTATTAATTAGTTGATGATACAGTATTAATTCCAGTTTTGAAACCCGATTTTGCTCACCTTAACATAGGGACTGATGATGATCTGCAGATAAAGAGAAGCAAGTAGCGAAAGACAATATCTATGAGTAGCAGATATAGTGCCAAGGATTATTTTTGTATTTTAGTTCCTTCTGATTTTGGGATCAATCTATGTCACAGTTTTGAGCTTAGAAAACTTCAACTATATATTTATATACACTTCAGAAAAATACCACTTTAATGGTGAAAAACTTAACCACTCCCAGGAATGTCACTTATGATTTGGAATTTAACTATGCAAGAGTCCAGTCTTCTCCTCAGCATCAGCGAGCGAGTTTACGGAAGCAGTACAATGCCCACTACTGGAGAAGCTAAGCGATCTGCTCAGCTCGTTTTGCCAAAAATGGTTCCTCAAGGCTTTAAGCTTTGGGTTGACCGTTGAGAAGCTCGGATCCGACAGCAGCTCTTGCAATGCTGTCTTTCCCTCTAAGAGACTCACCACCTGCGACATCGTAGGCCTTAGCGTCGGTGAAGCGTTAGTGCACATCAATGCCACGTTCAACATCAACATGGCTTCCTCTTCTAAGTAATCATTTAACGTCGGATCAACTAGCTGTAGTAAGGATCCTCGCTCTTGCAGAACATAGGCCTACATGTGTTTGATGCAAAACATTTTAAGCCTACATGTACTTTGGTTTATTATATAACTGGATTACACTTATTAAGTGGATGAAAGGGATGAGACTGTTTACCCAATCAAGAAGGTAGACGAAGTCCTCGCTAGGCCTAAAGTTTGTATTACTCTTTCCACTTACAATTTCTAGTGCAACGATGCCAAAGCTATAAACATCTGCTTTTTCTGTCAAGTATCCCCGCATCGCGTATTCGGGAGCCATATAACCTCTGCGGTGCAGATGAAAAATCAAACTTCTGATATTGTATTCTTAAATTTTCCCTGCTTGAGCTTATGAGTAAAAAAAGCCTTACATAGTTCCAGCGATACGGGTGCTGATGTGTGTGTTTCCATCATCATTCAGCTTTGCCAAACCAAAGTCAGAGATTTTAGCGTTGAGATCCTTATCAAGTAACACGTTGCTTGCCTTTATATCTCTGTGTACAATCTTTATCCTAGATTCTTCATGGAGAAATGCCAGTCCTTTAGCTATCCCCAAACAAATCTTCTTCCTTGTTGACCAGTCTAGCTTCAGTCTAGAACTCTCATCCTTTCCTACAAAGAAGATCACCCACACAGATTTAGAGCAGTGATTCCACTGGATAAAATGTTCATATACTTCCGCAGTCTCCAATTCAAAAGAAGAACATACCAAATAACGCACGAGATAAACAATTGTTCTCCAAATACTCATATACCAATATCAATTGGTTTCCTTCAACACAACATCCATATAGCTTAACGAGATTTGGATGCTGTAGGGCTGAGATCATTCCTATTTCATTTACAAACTCGCGATTTCCCTGCCTCGATTTTGCAGATAGTTGTTTTACTGCAATCAATTTTCCCTCAGGTAATTCACCCTGCAACAAGAGGAGGCACCACCTTCTTAATATACCTTCCAAAATCTACACATCTTCTAGTTTAACTGAAAACGATTTCATCTAGAGCTAAGAATGTTGAAGAATACAAGTGAATTACCTTGTAAACAGAGCCAAATCCACCTTCACCAATCTTTTTTGTTACGTCAAAATTATCAGTGGCTGCTTTTATCTGTCGTAGAGTAAAAGTCCCAGTCTGAAGATCTAAACCCCTTAGTTCTGTTTACCCATAGAAAAAATGACATTAAAGCGTCAGGATACATAAAAAGCACATAATAATATGCATACGTAGATTCAAGAAACATCATAAGAAAACTAAAGCTTATACCTTTGTCAATAGCATTTTTATCATGCCTCTTCTTCCAGAGTACGCCTACTATGATAAACAAAAGAAGTGTTGCTGCAGCAACTGGTAGCCCTACTTTTATTATGATAGCCTTAACGTCATAATATACCGGAGGTTTGAAATCTGCCAGAAGCAAAAACCTGTCATCTATCTGCCAATGAGATTCCATGAATTATATAAAGGTGCAATCAGAAAAACTTACTAGGTTCCACTGATATAGCTGAGATCATAGGACCATATACGCCTCTGATTGGAATGCCTGTTGTCCCTTTGCCTGCC